ATTTATTTGAGACCTTTCTGTGTTTTTCATATATGCACTCATGGCTGTAACTTTCTTCTTAGGACTGTCTATGCTGTGTCCCATAGGTTCTGATAGGTTGTATTTTTGTTTTCATTAAATTCCAGGAACTTGTTGATTTCCTCCCTTATTTCTTTTATGACCCACTCATTGTTAAGCAATGTGTCATTCAGCCTCCAATTGTTCATGTATTTTCTGCTGCTGCATTTGTTGTTGAGTTCTAGTTTTATTACATTGTGATCAGATAAAATGCAGGGGGTTATTTCAATTTTCTTATATTTGTTGAAAGTTATTTTGTGCCCTAAGATATGGTATATTTTGAAGAAAATTCCAGGGGCTGCTGAGAAGAATGTATATTGTGCTTTTGCAGTATAGAATAGTCTGTATACACCTGTCAGGTCTATTTGATCTACGGTGTCATTTAGTTCTAGGATTTTTATTGATTGTTTTTGTCTGGATGACCTATCAATTGGTGATAGAGTGTTAATAAAGTCTCCACTACTTCTGCACTGAGGCTTGTATATGATTTTAAGTCCTTTCATGTAGTTTTAAAGAAGTTGGTTGCACCGTCATTGGGTACATATGAGTAAATAATTATTTCCTTTTCATGTATTGCTTCTTTTATTAGTGTAAAGTGTCTTCTTTGTCTCTTTTTACTAATGTAAGTTTGGAGTCCACTTTGTCTGATATAAGTATTGCAACTCCTGCCTGTTTGGGAAGGGGCATTAAGTTGGTAAATGTTCTTCTAGCCTTTCACCCTAAAGCAGTGTTTATTTCTGTCAATAAGGTGGGTCTTCTGTGAACAGCAGATTGTCAGATATTCCTTTTTAATACAGTTTGCCAAAGGTGTCTTTTGGTGGGGGAGTTGAGTCCACTAATATTTGGTGTTAGTATTGAGAGGTAGGTGGTGACTCCTGCCATTTAGTTGTTTTTGTTGTTTAAGGATTTGAGGGTGTGCATCTGATTTAGTGCTACTCTCTGAGTACTTGTCTTTTATTCTCCTGTGGTTTAATATTTAAATCATTCTCTTAGGGTCAGGATCTGGGAATTCATTTTCTCCATTTCCCACTAAATCTTCTATTGAATTGTTATTCTTTTGAGGGGTGGAATGCCTTGCCTTCTTCTCCCCATGTTTCTGATTTGTGCTGTGCTTCTATGTTACCGATTGACTAGTTGGTGGTTTTAATCACCTGTTTTCTTTCCCTTGATTTAATTACTGTGTTATTACTGTGTTGGCCATTAGCTAGATTGATGTGTGCTATTTCTGTCCCTGGCCTGAAAGCATAATTTAGCAATAAAAAGTTAGTAAGTGGGAATTGAGGGGTTAATGGTTGTTTGGATAGAAATAGATACTTGGGTAATTTGAAAAAGTGGCACAAAAGAGGGGGCAGGAAGGTGGGAAGAGGTGAGGGAGGAAGAAGCGTGGGGGCTATAGAGTTTTAGATCCTTTATGCATTAGGGTGTAGGTCAGTTTTTATAGTGGAGTCTGCTTGTGTCATGGATTGCAGAGGGAAGGGGGGTATGTACAGTTGGTACAGTAGGCTAATCAGCAGATAGTAAGTGTGGAGGAAGGAGGTATAGTGGGGTGACAGGTAGGGTAAGGTGAGGAGGGCGAGGTGAAGTCAGGGGGAGAGAGTGGATGAAAAGTGGCAGAAAAAATAATTGAGGGGGAGAACAATGGATTGTAGCAAAAGAAAAGGAGAGAAAATAAAGGAGTAAAAATAGAGGTAAGAAGATAGTTATAGTAAAATTAATAGCACTAAATTAACAAAAGGGAAAAAGTAAGGGAAAAAATAACAGCAGCAATAACAGAAAGTATGTCAGTTTGGTGAAAGTTCTAGACATATTTCTTTGGTGTCTAATCCAGATATTGGTGCTTGTGGCTAGGGGTTTCTTGGTGTCCCTGTCTCTTCTCAAGGATGGTATTCTGGACTTTGTGGGGAAGTGTACTTCCCTTCTAATCAGACAGCTTAGGGGAGAGTCAGATGGGGGGGTGTTTATAGTCCTATTTTCCTTGGTCTGATGGGCCATCTGTTATAAGCAGGAGCTCTGAAGTAGTCTCACTAGACGACTGACTTGTGAACAATTGCAATTGTGGTCTGTGATTGCTCACTACCAGTTTATGCATTGTTCATCATTTCACCCCACTCCCACTGTTAGTGATAGCTTGCAATTCATAGTCTTTCTTTTTCGGTTTTGTTTGGGGGGGTATTGGGGATACAATCTGCCCATGTGTTGCACTGGGTCATTTTCCCAGTGGGGAGGTGTGTGTGGTGTGTGGCACTCACCTGTTTGGTTTGCAGATTTCTACAGGCAACTTTGAAATGGGGCTGCTAGGGAGAAATGACAAGCAGCTTACTGTGACTTGGTTCAGCCTAGTGTGGTGTAGGAAGGCCTTCCATGATTTAGGGGCTCAGTATGTCACAGAGTTTGGTTCTGTTTGATGCTCTATCTTCTGCTTTTTGAAAAAAAAAAAAAAAAAAGGGAGGGGTGAGAAATGGCCAGGGTGCTTTTCCAATGGCACAGCCCTAATTGCTGTGCTGCCTGAGATTTCTCTGGCTGCTTGATGCAATTAAAAGCTGTTTTAATGTTCAATCTTTGACTTTTACATGCATCCTATGTGTTGGCAGTTATTTAGTTGGCTAAAAAGAATCAAAATTACACAAATTTAGCTACCATGTCTTGAAGTGGTTTCTGAAATCGAGGAGCTCAGGAATTCTGATTCGCTCTCCTGTCATTTTTATATGGCAGTAAATTTTGAAGCTGCAAAAGAAAAATCATTTTTGTTCAATGGATAAGATTATTTGTTTTCCTATTACATTCAGTTGCATCATTAAATACTTTTTTTCCTCATCAATAATCACAGGAAGAAAAGTCTCCCTGTATAAAAAAATTCTAAATAGAAGTCAAATTAGACTCAGTGGTTTGACTTCCACAGTCTTACAAGGCTCCAAGAACTACCAAGTGAAGTTTTGTGAATATTATTCTTTAATTTAAATGCCATTGTTCATAGTGTCAAAACTTCTTAGGCTCAACAAATCAGAATAACATGAAAAGAATTCTTTTGATGTTCACAAATCTTAGTAGAAAATTAGTAAATGCAAATTAATTGACATTCTATTAAGGTCTTCCATTCTTTAAGCCACTTTCAGTCATTAACCTTGGACCTCCAAAGTACTAGGGAAAATTAAATTGAGAGAGAAAGAGATAGAGAGAACTGAGGAGATTATTTACCATTTTAAGAACAAAGATTCAGTAAAAGGCAAGTATGGTATGTGTTTTGGAACTCCAGAAAATAAAAATATAACTTGTTTTTTTTTTCTTTTTCTTAATTGCCTAAAAAATTTCAGCCAACTCATTGCCCAAATCATGATTAAATCCTGTGCATAAAGCAGCACTTTTGTAACCTTGTTTATAACCTTTGTTTTATTTTATTCTTAAATTTTGTTTTATTTTAATTTTTTAAGCAATTTCATGGTTTTTTGGGTTTTTTTTAAGTTTTTAGGTCTTAATGAATCTTTGTATTACACATGCATTCATACCCATGGTCATCACCCCTATGGTCATAAGGTTCTGCCTCCCAAGATTGTTGGACTGCATCCACAGGTTTCCTGCTCCACACAGTTGGTACCCCTGGTCCTGTCTGACCTCCCCATTTTCACTTCTACTCTTGGACCTTCTTTCACATGGTCAATCAGTAGAAAGTGCCTCACTGTACCTTCTCCAGCCCCTCTTGTGGGAGCTGAGCATAAATAGGAGAGTCAGAAATATTCATGGTGTTTGAGACAGAGAAAATGATGGGTTTTCCTATTCTAGGCTGGCAATGCTGTAGAGTATGGGGCAGGAATTTGGACTGGGAAGGCATCACACCTACCCCTCAATTCAGGTAGCAGGTGCATTCTACAGTGGAGAATGGAATTTCTTCAATGTTGTCCCACCTCGATTGACAATTAGCCACTGGAAATGGGAAATTGATTTCTCTATCACCAACTATGGCTTTTTTCATTTTCTGTTGAGCCCACAAGTCAGGTACATTACCGTTTGTGACAAATTCACATTTTACATTTTTTTCATTCTTTTACTTATTCAGTGAAAGATGTACTTTTTGTACTTGGCTTTGTTTTATTTTAAAACCACTATAATATCCAGTTGAATGACACTGTGCAGAAAATAGGCTGTATCATTCAACAAGCCTGACAAAGATTTCAGTAGGAACACATATTTCAAACATGTTAGAAATCTGATTTTATAAAGTGATTTCACCATAGTCATATAATGCAGGTTAAAAAAGTTTACTGCATCATCCAGGCATGGTGGTACACACCTACAATACCATATACTCAGGCAGTGAAGGCAGAAGGATGAAGTTTTAGATCAGTCTCACAGCAAAGCTAGTGAGACCCGTTCTCAAAAACAATTCAGGCTACTCTGTAGGTGAAGGCAGGAGGATTGTCAAATGAAGCCAGGCTGGTCAAAGGTAGTGCAAGAGCTTATCTGAAAATCAAAGTAAAAATAAAAGGAGTGGGGGCATGGCTCAAGTGGCATTTTGGTGGTCCTGAGTTCAAACCCCAGTAACACAAAAATGACATAAAGAATTTCTGCATCAGAGAGCCCAAAAATAGAATGATATATTAGCCTAGCCTTTTCAGGATCTTTATGACAGTTTCTGAACCATATGTATGGAATTTGTAGTAAAGATACTGGATTACAATCAAGAACTGCCAGTGTGTGTGTTAAATATGCTTATGTTTATGATTAAAGATGAACATGATAACTAATTTTCCTCACTTATGTATTAAACACACCATATGCTTACTACTCCTCTCCATTAAATACAAACCGCATTAACCATCTGCTCTTTTAACCCAATACCGGTAGTCATCAGTTGTGGAGACCCAGGTGTACCAGCTAATGGACTGAGATATGGAGATGATTATGTAGTTGGACAAAATGTTTCTTACATGTGCCAGCCAGGGTATACGATGGAAGTGAATGGTTCCAGAGTCAGGACCTGTACTACTAATGGCACATGGAGTGGAGTCATGCCAACTTGTAGAGGTATGAAAATTATTGCCTCAAAATATTTCCTTATTTTATGTGCAAATTTAAAGTATATTTAAATAGCTTTTGCACAGTTTCATTTTTTCTTATACTAAAAAAATGGCTTATGTAGATTTTTAAAAACACAGTTGTAATATACAGGATTTAAAAATAATATTTTGACAAAGCATTATATTTTATTGTGATTATTAACAATGAGTTTAATGAAATAAAAAGAACAAAAACATAATGTGCTCTGATATGTAATCATCATTATTTATTTATTGTTATAATTAGTGAAAATTTTTGAAAGAATGTAACCTTAATGAGTTAATTTTAACTTTAGCTTGCTGAACAAATTAGGTCAAATCTTTCAAGGATTGGACAGAAGAAAAAAAAAAAAATCTTTCCTTAGTTTGGGAATAGTTAACCTGAATTTTGGAGCTGTAATTTTACTTAAGCAAATGGAGTACCTGTTTCTCCAAATAATTCAGCATAAAATTATTCTATAATTTAATATATACATAAATTTGCTAGCTATTTATGCTTTTTTCCCCTGGAAATATTTTCAGAATTTTTTCTGTAAGTTTATATTATTTGTAGAATACAGTAGATGCAAATGATAGACAATTAACATTGTTTTATAATTTTTTTAGCAATTGGGATTTCTCATTCATGCATTTTATATATCTGGAAATTGATAATTTAAAACCTCCCTGAATGAAACTTTAGCAAGAAATAATACTTCCAAAGTGTTTGTCTTTTTTTCTGGATTATACAGCTTTTTAATCAGATCACTTATAGTTTTGTATACTAGCTATTTATTTGTAGTGATTTATATAGAGATCATTTTAGTGAAATGTAAAGATCAGTTTAGTGAAATTTGTGTGAATATAGGTCAGCATAAATATACAGTTTTATATAAAATATATGCATACATTTTATACCTTAGAAGCTGTTTTATATGTTAATTAGTTGAAACTAATGATTGCAATGTTAACAAACTCAAAAAAATATTCTTTATATGTTGCCATTCACTGAAACGAAATCACTCCTTGTTATTAGACTTTGTTGCTGACACCCCTTTTCCTTTCATCTCTGCCACTATCCAAACTGTACTTGCTTGAGGGCAGTTTAAAACATTTTAACCAAAATCATCTTTAAAAAATTTTTAAATGTATTTACAAATCCTGTAACAGTTTCAACATATGAATCTTAACAGGTGATGGGAACCAATTGGAATGTTGTAATCAGACACATAACCTATGTTTTTAAAAATGCTACAGAACTATTTCCAAATTCCTCAGTTACAAAACTGATACTATATATAGCCAAACCACCCAGATTCTCAGTATCCCTAAAGGTCAATGAAAATAATTTTATATAAAACCAATATTTATCAATTAGAGTATACCAGATAGAAGGTCACCCCCTATTTGCCTCCCCTTATATGTCAGACAGCTTGCTATTTTGTAAAAGAATGTCTGACAACTAGTAGCCATTATGTTGCCAAGAAAAAGTAGCATTCTAAGGGATGAATTCCTGGGATGTTTCAGGAATACTACCCGGAGAATATAACATGTCCCACGTATTGTCCTCCAAAGATTAAATTAGCACATATGCTTCTCCTAATGATATTTATTTTTTTACACCCAGTATTTTCAACAGCTGTGTCTAATCGCTTTTAATGTAATTGCAGCTGTTACTTGCCCAGCTCCTCCCCAGATCTCTAATGGAAGGCTGGAGGGAACAAATTTTGACTGGGGCTTTAGTATCAGCTACATCTGTTCTCCAGGATATGAACTGTCCTTTCCTGCTGTTTTGACCTGTGTAGGGAATGGTACCTGGAGTGGTGAAGTACCACAGTGCTTGCGTAAGTATAATTTCCATACTTAAAATTATGTCTTATAGTAACAATTGATACTTAGCTTTTTATTTATTTATTTATCTTTAATTATTCATTTATTCACATGTGCATACATTGTTTGAGTCATTTCTCCCCCTGCCACTTCCAGGCAGAACCTGTTCTGCCCTTATCTCTAATTTTGTTGAAGAAGAGACATAAGCATAATAAGGAAGACAAAGCGTTTTTGCTAATTGAGTTAAGGATAGCTATAAAGAGAGATTCCCAGCATTGCTTTCATGTACAAGTGTGTTACAACCCATGTTGATTCATCTCTAACTGATCTTTACACTGGTTCCTGATCCCCTTCTCATGTTAACCTCTGTCACTTTAAGGTTTTTGTATTAGTTCCTCTGGATTGGGGACATCAAATACTTTCATATTTTGGGTTTTTTACCTATTCCTATATCTCCCATATGTGCTCTCCCCTTGTCATGTGATCCAATTCCAGCCACATTGCTGCATTTGCCCTAGATCTAAAGTTCACATATGAGGGAGAACATACGATTTTTGGTCTTCTGAGCCTGGCTGACCTCGCTCAGAATGATGTTCTCCAGTTCTATCCATTTACCTGCAAATGAATTAAATAGAACTTTCTCAAAAGAAGAAATTCAATGACCAAAAAACACATGAAAAAAATGCTCACCATCTCTAGGCATAAGGGAAATGCAAATCAAAACCACACTAAGATTCCACCTCACCCCTGTGAGAATACCCATTATCAAAAACACCACAAACAGCATGTGTTGGTGAGGATGTGGGAAAAAAGGATCCCTCTTACACTGCTGGTGGGTATGCAAGCTGGTGAAACCACTCTGGAAAATAATTTGGAGGCTTCTTAAAAATCTAAACATAGACCTGCCACATGATCCAGCAATCCCACTCCTGGGAATATACCCAAAGGAATGCAACACAGGTTACTACAGAGGCACTTGCACACCCATGTTTATTGCAGCATTATTCACAATAGCCAAGTTATCACTACTGATGAATGGATCAAGAAAATGTGGTACTTGTACACAATGGAATTTTACTTAGCTTTTTAAATTTGCTAGAAGAAATATAAAGTACTTAAACTCTTTCCAATGCTAATTGAAAAAAATCTGGTTTTACCAATGTAGGAACTTTTAATTAGCCATCATACTCTTTCTGGTCTGATTCTAAATTTTAGGGTAAACTATTTTGTTTATAAACTTTTCTTAGCTATCTATGTCTTTCTGTCTTCCTTCCTTCCTTCCTTCCTTCCTTCCTTCCTTCCTTCCTTCCTTCCTTCCTTCCTCTCTCTCTTTCTTTTTCTTTCTTTTTGAGACTAGATTTCATTATACAGCCAGCATTGGCCTCCAAATTGCTACATAGTTGAGTTGTCCTTGAGCTCACTATCTTCCTTACGGTCCTCCAAACATTGGGATTATATACATGTGCCACCATGTCCAGATTTTATTTTTGAAAATTACTCCTCAAAGTAGAAACCCTTTAAAGAAATATTTATATTTTTAACCATGAGAAAAACTTGAAAGCACCTGATACAGGTTCATTTGCATGAGTACTCTACTAGATCTAAACCATTTGATCTCATCCCTATTCCCCTCTGCATATTCACTGTGCTCTTGTCACTCTGGTTTAGTTCTTCCTTCTCTAGGATGCTGACTGTGCCCCAGCACATGAGTGTTGTTTTCCTCTCTCTGGTGTGCTCTCCCTTGAAATATCAGCCTGGCTAGATACTTTGTTCCCTCCATATCTCTTTGCAATGAGTTATGGCTTTGCCATGTTATTTAAAATCTATTTACATCTCCTGACAGCCACCCACCCACAGTTGTAATCTCCTTTCCTTGAACTATTTTTCCACTTAGGATTTACTGCTTTCCCACACACTACCTTTATTTCTTAACTTATATATTATGGTTATTGTTTGTTTGCTTATATCACAAACATATAAACTCCATAAGGGCAGGAGTCTTCCTTTTTATGTTTACTGATATGTCCAAATGGCTAAAACCACTTAGAACAGTGTTTGTCTTTAGTAGTTAATAAATATATTTTGGAGGGGATCATTTAATCAATTTGTTGGCAATCCTGTCAAGTTGATCTTTTCAGTGGTTGGAAAACATTGAAATTCCTTAGTTTTATGTAGATTAGGATCCTTTAAAAGGAGATAGCCTTTTTCCCTTTTTTGTTAAAAAAATTAACTATATTTTCAAGAGGAAATCAATAAGATATTTATATATGTGCTCTATGTAGTCAAAATACATTAAAATTATATTAACATTAAACAAACATATATTTAGATATACATATGTGAAAAAGGGGCAGTATAATCTACAAAAGACAATTTGTAACATTATAGATGGATTATTTTTCACAGAGCTACCTATGAATCACATGCTTTTTCAGGAATAGATTCCAGCTTTGCAGCATGGATGTACTGATACAGGTACCAATACATAGTTTGATTCTGGTCAATGTAAAACACAAAATAAAAAGTATCCTATTACTGTAGCAATAGGAAAAGGGGACCAGGAACTAGAGAAAAGGTTAGATTAAAAAGAATTAACCTAGAAGGTAACACCCACGCACAGGAAATCAATGTGAGTCAATGCCCTGTATAGCTATCTTTATCTCAACCAGCAAAACCCCTTGTTCCTTCCTATTATTGCTTATACTCTCTCTACAACAAAATTAGAGATAAGGGCAAAATAGTTTCTGCTGGGTATTGAGGGGGGGAGCGGGAGGGAGTGGAGTGGGTGGTAAGGGAGGGGTTGGGGGCAGGGGGGAGAAATAAACCAAGCCTTGTATGCACATATGAATAATAAAAGAAAAATGAAAAAAAAGTATCCTATTACTGTAGTAAGCTAGATAGAATATATAAGACTAAATGTTCTACTCAGTTTTTCAATCAGTATTTTTGTAGCTACAAGACAGAAAGAAATTTCACTGGGACAAATTATCATGGATAACATGTCACTTTAGTGCAATATTACAATGAGTTGTCACTGTTTTTTCTGAACTATTTATTCTGATGAATCCTAAGTATTTGTGATCACTTTGTGATCACTTTCTTTATTTTCACTTCTAGCAAAGTTTTGTGGTGACCCTGGTACACCTTCCCAAGGAAAACGAGAAGGCAAAAGCTTTATATATCAGTCAGAGGTTTCATTCAGCTGCAATGCTCCTTTCATATTAGTGGGCTCAAGCACCAGAATATGTCAAGCAGATGGCACTTGGAGTGGCTCATCACCTCACTGCATAGGTAATATTAATTAAAGACTGATTATATTCAGTGCTGCAGAATTAATAGATGACAGTGGTATTTATTAGTTTGCTTTATCCTAAAACTTCAGTTGGCTAAGTATGAAAAACTAACTTAAAATACACAGGCAATTGGATGGCACTGAAAGTAACTGTTGGTAGAAGGCATCATTATTTTTAGCATTTTTAAACTTGCAGTAGAAACAGTTGAAATAATTTTGCTATAACAATGAAATGTAAAAGAAAGAAATTTTCAAAATAATTGCATTATTAAATACTGCCATTTATGTGGATTGTTAGAGCCAATAAAACACATTCATATGAAATGAAACTTACTCAACAACATTAAATGTCATGCTTGGTAAACCAACCAAAAAACCTGTCACACAAACAAACCAACTTAGAGACCACCAATCCCAAGATTCTTATTCATGAATATCCTATAGGTAGTTGTGAAATCCAAATGACTAAACCTTGTTTCTAGAAATAACTTTTTGCTTCTTCAGGGAAATATCACCCACCCTGAAGTCATAACTTAGCTGGGTTTTATGTATGGAAACTTCTTTAGGATCCTGTAATTTTTCTTGGCTTTATATCTACAGAGTCAACTCCATATCAACTACTTTCCCTATTAAAAGGATACACAGTTCAAGAATTGTGTAATGCATATCAAATATTCTTGACCTGAATGTCTTTTTTCAAGCACAACGGGCTCTGTCCAGGGGGAAATGTTATCAGATTTATATATTTTATTTTTATCCAGGGTACTTTCATTAAACCCAGATCATTTAAAAATGTTTTGCATGAGAGAAATGTATCTATTATAAATGTTAAAGGAATGTTATGTTTTTGATCTTTATGTTAGAACCTACTCGGACCTCTTGTGAAAACCCAGCTGTGCCACGGCACGGATCTCAGAACAATACGTTTGGATTTCAAGTGGGTACTTTTTCTTATTTTGTATTTATTTATTTATTTAGGGTTTTGAGACAGGGTTTCACTACCTTACTGGCCTCAAACCTGGCTCTTCCCTCCAACCTGATCCTACTGCCACAGCTTCCTGAGTGCTAGGATTCTTAGGTATATGCTACCATGACCATCTCATGTGGTTCCTTTAAATAATACTTCCATTTAATATAAAACTAGGTCAGAAATCTTCTTTGGTTTATGAGCTTTCTAGTCTTCTTGACACAAACAGAAAAAATGTCATGATTGTATCTGAATTCACAAACAAATGAAAAAAAGATAACATGCAACAGGAGTGGAAGTAAAGGAAATTAGGAACAGTAAAAGTTGTTTCCAGAAAATCAACTAACTGAATATGGTGAAGAAATAAAAGAAAAGGTGGGGAGAGAGCTCTGAATATCAGAAAACCCATAAGCGGTAGAACATGAAGGGTATAGTAAATAAGTGAGTAAGTAAATGAGTAAATGCTATAGGAAGGTATGGTGCATGGTGAGGAAACATAAAATGAGTGGGGTTAGAGAAGAGACTTCAGAGTCAAACATGAAATACATAAAAATGTGATTATTGAACAAGGTAATTATTGTATATAAGACTAAAATATATTTTAGTCATTGACATTTATGTGGGAAATTTCTGAGACATAATCTGACCATAATCTAATATTATACAACACATAGCTGGAGTGTTTAGGAGAATTCTTTAGCATGCACAGTCATGTGTGGCTGACTTTCTTGTTCTCTCTTTTTCCAATTTAGATTTTATGTAGAGATTCAGCAAGTTTTCTATTACATGAGTCTAAGGGGAGCCAAAGTACACACTGATTCCAAAAGCAAACAGCCAATTTACACGTTACCCAATTGCTTTCTGTGGCAGGGATTTCTAAATTGTGCTATTCTGAGTAAAATTCAGTGTGAGCCTGAAGAGCATGCATTTCTAAAGGAAGGTCTCATTTAAAGTGCCATATTTTTGTGGCTAAAAATAGTGTTCATTTATCTACAGTTCAGGCACAGTATGAGCATTCATTTAATAGTGTTTCCAGTTCTTTTGGTTTGCCTCAGGCTGCTGCAGATAATTCAAAAGTGTAAAAACAAGTCTCATTCCCTATTATATCAGTGTTTTAGAGAACTTTAGATTCATATCTCCATAAAAGGTTTTTATCAATTGGTCTAAATCTTGAAAAATGGGCTACAAGCTTCACAGCATGAGTTCTTATCATATACATGAAGAAACTGAAACAAAATACAATTTGTTGTGATTACATAGCAAGTTGGTGACAATATCTTTGCAGAACACAAAATGTTGATGCTGTCGGTAGTATACAAAATCAGGCTGATTTTCTGAAAAATATGAGACCTTCCTCGTAAATATTCTTTGAGATAATGGAAATAAAAATGGTTAGTTTTAGAAGTCAGTCAACAAAATGGAAAAAATCTGCATTAAGTCTGCATTGTAAAACTTTTATTACTATAATCATTGAAAATTGTAATCACCAAGTTAGCGTAACCCTGAATACCTTGCGCTAATAAATATCTGCTAGAGTATTTTTGTCTAGCTACAGAAGTATAACTAGGCTAGATTATAAATATGGTAATTACATTTTAATTATGTCAATGTCTATTAAAATAAAAAATATATCAAGTATGTAAGTCAGGAACATCACCTTTCTTACATGTTTATGGAGGTATGCATGTATATTTGCATATATATACTAAATATGTTAGCTAAATCTGTACAGAGACAACACAGTAAAAATTATGTAATTCTAGCTAATAACAAGTCTTTGGTGAAAACCACGTGAATATGGTCTCATATGCAGAAAAAGTATCTTTGTGAGTTGAGAAAAAAGCTTGCAGATAACAGAAATTTTTGAGTGAACTCAGACCTACTGGTATTACAAATCTTGTGCAGGTATATCCAAGCACGGAAGAAAGGGAATGTAGGTGAAACAAAGCAAGCCAGAAGTGAAGCTGAGCCTGGGTAGTTTTACTTAGGCTTTTCCACTGCTCCCTGTTCACTTGCCTCATCTTTCACCTCTGTGGTTTGGCCATGTGACCAAAGATGAATCATTTCATTTCTATCTACATGTTAGTCACACAGAAAGTGATCAGCTTAATCTCAGTTTCAGATTTCCAGAAAAAATCAGGATTTCGTAAGTTTTGTGAGCTAGGAAGTAAATCACAGTTACAGGAAGCCAATCCTAGAAGAAGCAAGATTTCAGATTGAGCTGTGGAACACCATCTTAAGTGAAGTTAGCCAGACTCAGAAGGCCAAAAGTGGCATGTTCTCTCTCATATGTAGGGTATACACCTAATACAAATATAGCAATATTAAGAAAATTGGTTACACTAAGGGGAGGTCACATATGAGAGGGTAGGTTGAAAGAAGGAAACTAAGAAGGTAAAAATGGTTAGTATACTCTCTATACAAGAATGAATATGGAATTCTTAAACTGGCTAAAACTCCATAATAAAGAGTTGAAGGTAGAATGAAAAAAAAATGAGGATATGAAACAATTGGATTATAGTACATATATACATGGAAATATCAAAAGGAAACTCCCTGTGTTGCTACACTTGTATCTCAAATAAGCAAAAATATCATTTTTTTTCTTTTTTCCTCTACAAAATGAGAGAACAGGAGAGCAGAACAAGTTCCGAGGTGGGTGGTACCAGTGGGAAGGGGGAGGTGACAGGGAAAGGGCAGGAGGGGAATATGCTGCAAATACTGTGTACACATATATGTAAATGCAAAAATAATACCTGTTCAAACTATTCCAGGAACGGGGGAAGGGGGAGATAAATGAGTGGAGAGAGAGTGAATCCAAGTATGATACATTTGATACATTGTAAGAACTTTTGTAAATGCCACAATATACCCCCAACCAGCAAAACAATAAAAAGAAAGGAACTGTAGAGTCACCAAAACCATTTTCTTAATTTTTTTCTTAAATTTCATTATTTTTGCCTATGTAAGTTTATGTATTTATTTAGTTGATGGTACTGGAGATTCAACCCAGGACCTGGCATTTGCTAGACAAGTGCTCTACCACTGGTGCCATGCCCAGCCCTTTTTAAATTTCCTTTTTGAGATAGGATCTTGCTAACATTCTCCAGGGTGGTTTTGAACTAGTGGTCTTCCTTTCTTTGCCTTCTTAGTAGCTGGGGTTACAGGTATGACCTACCATACCTGGCCATATAGATTTATATAGTACATTTTTGGATAGAGATATATTTATTAACATATAAAAATGAGTCTCCTGTTCTTAGAGAATACTTGTTGAAAAAAATATGAAACAGAATTTATTTTTCTTTCTTAAATATTCTAAGTTAAAACAATTTTGAATAAAAATGGACTAGTAGTGAAAAATGTGGGAGTAACCTGGGGAGAATTAGCTGTCAAAATGATTGATACTCCATCTAGATTAATTATGGAGTAAGTGCCAAGCACACATATTTCATTAACTGCTCTCTATCACTCTTTCATTTGAGCTCTGGGCAATAGAAGATACGTTACTTGGATTCAAAGTTTGTTTCATAAAGTTATCGTAGTTATGGAATATTTTACATCCAAATCTTTAGATAATTAATCCCAAATTGTTGAACTATAAATTCCAAGACATTTAATCATAGCATATTTTACCCTATCAAAATAATTGTGGTGATGTCCAGTTTGTATTTGAAATTAATATTTAAGTACAATTTAGTCCCTTAAATGACGAATATAATGAGATGAATTATAAAAGAAAAATCCATAAATATTCATTTGTCACAATAAAAATCTTTTTATTATTTTTGAATATAAGCCCATAAAAATTCAATCTTTCTTAATCCTGAAAGCTCAGGACTAAAACTGATGCTCCATTAGTAAAAATTGAAGTCAGAAAACAAGGTCTGAGTGATGAATCCTAAAGACAGTGGCTGAGCATTCTCAGTCCATGTGCTGGTAAATTGTGAAATCTAAGTAGCACCAGCCTCATAATTAGAATCACCATTCTTATTCTTTCAGAACTGATCCTCACTTATGTCTCAAACTTCATCATTATAGCTAGAATTCATTTGAAATTTATGTGCCATCCCAGTGTGGAGTGGATTATAAATTCTATTTCATTTAATCCTTAAAACAAATCTCAAGACAAATAATAGCACAATCATTATTTATAGATGAGAAATTAAGTCTCAAAGAGGAGATGTAGCTGATTCAACTAAGATCAGATCCAGAATTAAAATGAAATGTACCTTTCTCTGGGTTCTTTTTTTAATTTATTATATCCCAATGCTTCCCACCTAATAATCTTCCAACTTCTCTGCTCACTTGGTGAACCATCCAGCTAACCAATAAAATATACTTTCTTTTTTTCCTAAAACAGATGATGGATATTTTAACCTCCATAATTTTCTCATCATGTATTATCTTTTTTGCTTTTGTATCAGTTGTTCTCAGACTTTAATGCTCACCAAAGTCACACAGAAGGTTTATTAAGTGAGATCATGTGTTCCCCTTTTAAGAGTTTCTGATTCCGTGGGTCTAGGCTTTTTCTTCAATCTTGAGATTTTTCCCAATATTCTTTTCAATCAGATTTCAATTTCTATATTTTTTCAACTCAACTATAAAGGATTTCATGTGAAAGCATTTTCTCACTCACAGGTTTTTTTCCTGTTTATTGTGATATTTGAAGTTGCATTGTGAGACTTCTTTCTCTGCAATTTGAAATAGGTAGGAAGTGTTGTACAGTTTCATTGCAAAAAAGGACACTTACTTCAAGGGTCTACAACACGCACTTGTCTCCCTGACCTCACATGGAGTGGAATTCAGCCTGAATGCATACGTAAGTATTATGTATAATACATGATAATTATCATGACTAAAAATTTATATATATATTTTCTCCTAAGATTGAAAACCTTTCTTAATCCTTTTAAGCATCTATACAATAAACGTGCAAAATTAATTTTTAGACTATTATAAAGCATATTTCATTTATGCAATTTTGCTGCTGTATCAAAACCAATGCTTAATGAGAAAGCCATCTTTCTAAAGAAGTCAGAAGACAGAAGACATGAGGTCCAATTTTGTTCTTTTGGAAAATCTCTTATAATTGTGTTAGTTTGTCTACTATGTAACTTTATGTGGTTATTTATTAGTTGTTAGCTTCATAGATCTGCACTTACAAACTGAAGTAGTCTAAGATAGGAGGATCCAAACTAGTAACTGTTAACGTTTGTAATCATATGTAAAAAGTTTTTCTAAGTGTTTGAGGTAATCTAGAATGATATGCCAAAAGAAGTCACAAACACACCTTGTTAAATTTGAAAATTATTTCAGAATTCCCTGAATTCTCTAAATGATCACAAGCTTGAAAAAATGTAAGTGGTATCTTACTGCAGGACTTTATAGCTATTTTTAAATGTTGTTCATTGTGACTCTGTAAGATGGTACTATAGATGCATTTATGAGCTTAATAAGCCATAGTAAATCTATATTTTTCTTTCTTATCTACTAACACATACCCATGTTCCACACATGGCTTTTAGACTATGAAAAAAATATGTATAGTCACATTGACACATTTTCTTAGTTTATTGGATAATTATTCTAAGATATGCTTAAATAATGGTATTAAATATGTCAAAAGCATATTTTGACTCTTTTCTCACATTTTTATTAAGATGCTTATGGAACATTAACATTCTTCTCTTTTTTAAATATAGCCCACAGCTGTAAGCAACCAGAAACTCCTTCTCATGCAAATGTAGTAGGAATGGACCTTCCATCTCATGGGTATACACTAATTTACACCTGCCAGCCTGGCTTTTTCTTAGCAGGTGGAACAGAACATAGAGTATGTAGATCTGACAATACCTGGACTGGAAAAGTTCCTGTTTGTGAAGGTCAGTTTTCTCTACAGACAGTATTAACAAAAAAGATTGCATTATTTAGGCCTGTCTTAGATACAAGAGACAAAAACTCAATTCAAATTGCCATAGAAACAATCTTGAAGAGCAGACATTACACGAATGTTTCTTGATCCAGAAACATAGAAATATTATTCAGATCTTTTGTTAACTTCTTTTCCCTGCTGATTTGGTTTTTATCATTAATCTTTCTTCAAGTTCTCTCTTCAAGGTTGGTATGTTAATTTTCTAACATTTTCATACCAAAATCTGTGAATCTTAACAATATAGAAATTTATTCTTTCATAGACCTATGGTTCAGAAGTCCAAAGTCAAATTGTCAACAGGAACTTCTGTGCTCTTTGAGTTCTAGAGAAGAGTCTTGCCTTGCCTCTCATAGTTCTTGGCAGCTGTTGGCATTCCTTGGTTCATAGTTTTACTATAACTTCTGCTTACAAAACATCTTCTTATGTCCTTCTGTCCTGTGAATTATCCTCTTCTGTTGTTAAAAGGGTGCCAGGCATTTTAATTAGGGTTCACACTGAATTCATGTTTATTTCATTCCACTACCTATAATTAGTTAAAGTCTGCAAAGGATTTATTTCCAATTAAGGTCATATTCTAATGTTTGATGTGAACACTAGTCAACCCATTAGGGTAGAGTAAATTACTACCAGTATACCTGGCTTCATAGCCCTTTGTCAAAGTGTCCCTAGTAGTCGTTGCCAAAATTTGGCCAGAAAAGCACTCTTCCTATCATAATTTTGAACTGATCCCATCTCTAAACCTATGACTCAGTCAGTTTGTTATAATATTTTAATTAGAACTATATGAGGTTCCCATCTCTGTTACTGCTTGGTCAATATAGTCCCTACCTGGACACAATGTGAAATACTAGCAGAACAAGGATTTCCTTATCAGAAGAAGCTGTAAAGAAAGCTTTCTAGAGTTATTGATCAGGTCATCAATAAACTCCTTTTCCTTATATCTTTTTTCAGGCCTTCTAATATTTGATTTTTGCAGCATGCACAAATGACACTTTTCCTTTCTCCAAATGTTTTCACTCTCTTCTCTTAGAATCTGTTTTCTTTTTCTTTCTTAAAATTGTATGATAGAAAACCCTACTTTATGAGAAAATGTTTTTATTTGCTTGCTGTTATCTGTTTCTACTCTCTTAGTTTCTTATCTGTCCCTCCTCAACTAAGAATTTAATCTCAGTAACAAAAACTTTATTCATAGTGTTTGAACTATAAGCTTTACATCAATATTGGTGTCTTATATGTGAAAAGTGATCAGTAAATATTTGTTGAATGAATATTTTATTACCTCATAATTTTAGTTATCCATTCTTCATTTTCTTTACAAGTTTACTCTTTTCTACTCATGATTTTCTAAAGGCTTAGCACCTAATCATCTCCTTTCATTTTATATGCCCTCCTAGGTGATCTCATTCAAGCTAGTTGTCTCTTCTATGAAAATTACTTACAAATTAATATTTGTAGCTCATTTTTCTTCTTTTAGTCTAAGACTTTTATATTCAATTGCTTACTTGACATCTCTACGTAGTCAATAGTTGTAAAACTGAGCTCATCAATTTATTTTCCCCTTTTAATTGTCTATTGGTTCTAAATAATCTGCCATCTAAACTCACCACAATTTTAATAGCAACCTTATCTATTTTCTTTTTTCTCATCATGCTATGGTAATACAACTCAGCATTATCTCTGCTGGGACAACTGTAGCAGTCTCTGGCCAAATCAACATCATATCAATATTTGCTCCTTTCTGAATGCTCTCCATTTTTCAGTGTTATTCACCAAAATCACGACCACTGAAATCCTTTCAAAGACATTACCTCTTAAGACACATGCCCTATAAAGCAGTGCATGTTGTATTTCTACAACTGTCCATTCCCTTCAAGCACCTCACATTGATTTCTTTGGTTTTGATCTTAAAATATTTCACCTTTGAGTCTATCATATTTCTTGTATGTTTTGAGCCATTTTAACCATTTTTGATTCTTCAGCATCAACCCTATGCAAATAGATTTTGCCTTTTGTCTACAGAAACATATCCTCAGGAGCTTTCCTGTTCAGAGAAACTGTTTCCATTTATCCTTTAAGATAAGAAACTTGTCTCATGATGACAGGACAGCAATAATCTGCCTCTTTTCCCACTGGCATAGGATAGGGGTAATTATTGAAGTTGCTACTTACACAATAGGAGTTTTGCATAGGAAAGTGAGATGTTGTAATGAACAGGACATTTTGAAAACTTATGTAATATTTAAGAGAGTATAATTGGCAGTGTGTCACATTTTATGTGTGTGTCTATGCATGCTATTATAGCAACTTCTGCAAACACTCACTTTTTCTTTTCATAGCTGGTTCCAAAATATTGGTGAAAGATCCTAGACCTGCATTAGGAACACCCAGCCCAAAGCTCAGTGGTGAGTAATTCAATTTGTATTTCTAGAAGTCATGACTTCTAAAATTGATAATTATTTTCTTGACAGAGAAAATATCTTTCAGTATGATAAAATTCTGCATTTATATTGAATGTAATGATTTGTGATAAGATGCTGAATTTAATACATGCAGTACTATGATATGTATGCCTTAAATTTATTTTTCATAGTTTTTCTGCCAAAATTATTGTTTATAGGGCTCTCTATAAATTTTCCCTTGAAGAATTTCTATAAAGACAACATAATGTAATATTTTACTTAAAATATTAAAATAAAAAATGAGATTACATTTAAAAGTAAAATTTTAAAATACATACATTTTTAAATGGCACCAAGTATTCATGGTATGAGAATAGAAGCTTACTAACTTCTAACTTGTCCAGTTGATTTTTAATTATATGATTTACAAAGAAAAGTTAAATACCCAGGGGAGTCATTAGAAACATGGTCTTTAAAGTCATATAACCTTGACGTAATGCCCATCTTATCTACTCTCTACCTTGTAATCTTGGAAAAAATATTTTATATATCTGAGTTTCCATTTTTTATCTACAAAAAGAAATAATGATTAAATTATTATGAGAATGAAGTACAAAGTGCTTGGTCCATACTAAGAGTTCAATATATAAGAAATGCCTTTTTTAGGGCTGGAGGAGTGGCTCAAGAATTAGAGCAATTGCCTAGCAAGAGTGAGGCCCTGAGTTCAAACCCTGGCACTGCCAAAAGAAAAAAAAGAAATGCTTTTTTAGTCATGATTTTATTTATGTGATATAAACAAAACTGAGTGTCATGATGAATTTCTCTACTATGTACAATTGAATATATGCCAATATTACATTTTAAAAAATTAACAAAAACTAAAATTAAATCTGTCCAAAAATAAAAGGGTAAGGATTAGCCTTAAGTCTTAACCTTGGAGTCAGATTTGGTCAGGTAAATTAGGACAAGAACAGTGGTAGAATATAAGTTCAGTTGGTTCAGAAGCTTTCAGTATAAATGCTATAAAAGTGAGTGCTTGCAAATCTCTGAAACTTAATTTATTCAACCCTCAAAGAAAATGTACTGAATGCCAGTAAGGTAGTCAAAGGCTGTGTCAACATAAGGTGGAGTTACCAATGGAGTCTAAAAACCATAATGGTCAACCAGTGCCCAGAATTTTCCAAGGGAGATGCTACAACTGGGAGCAAATGGGTATTCTGAATGATAGCTCCAGTACCTCAAATGTGAACCTGACCTATCCTGAGCAAAACATGGTCAAGGGCCACTCACTAGATAAATCAACCTGACAAAAAAATAAAAAGAAAATATGGAAGAGAAGAACCAAGCCACATAAGATTGAGTCAATATGCATATGAAAAAATTTATTTATCAAATAATTATAAATATTGCCTTCAAAGGCAAGGAGATAATTTTAGGCCCACTTGACTTGGGATTATGGATGAAAAAAATTCTGTATAAAATCTTACTAAATCAAATCCAACATTGTAGTAAAGTTAATATATCAGAAACAAATTTGATTCATGATTGACACATCAGGACATTTTCATTTTAAATAATCCTTAAAAGTAATATATCATATTAAGAGACTAAAGTACAAAAAGAGTGACCATTGTGATACTTAAAAGGAAAATATTTGATAAAATCCAACAACAATTTATGATTTTAAAATTCTGAATAAATTAATTAACTTAAGTAAAATTATCTATAAAATAATAACAGCAACTGTTGGTGTGAACATGAGAAAACAATAGGCAACATTCCATTTATAGTTATGAATGAGACAAAATAGGAAGCTTTAATGTGACAAAATAATATTTGGCAATTCATCAAAGTGAGGAGAATTACTGTGTATTTGAGAAGATGTGAAGCCTATGAAACAAAGTTGAAATTCAAGCACAGTTTGAAAGAAAGGATTGTGACTATCATTGTCTTCCTTCTTTTCATTGATCATCCCATCAGTGTTGGATGGCAATTTGGAATTTACAAAGAACTTTCAAATACATAATTATATTTAAATCTCAAAATAGACTTAAAAGTAGACAGAAAGAAGAATGATCATCCCTTTTGTCCAGTGGTAGCATAAGTGAATAAATAATGTCTGCCTTTCCCATTCATGAAGAGTTACCTCTCTCAGACATATGTGGGACAGATGAAGCATGGTGTTAGCACACTGGATCCAACAGAGGCTCACTTGAGTCCATTCTGTGCATTTTCAATCATTCTGCATCCAGTTTATATCCTGTTGGTAGCTGGAAATCTACAACATGGGAATATTTCTACCATAGAAAGCAGCAAATAGTACAGTTAGTTATTTTTCTTAAGTCCTAATTGTTAAACATTAACTACCTCATCACTGATATCAGTGATGAATTCTCATGCAGCTGACTTTGCTGCTGCTGGCACTCTTTCCATTACGATGAGCTCCTGAAACCAAAATTTTGTAATAGCCTTCAATTAACAGTCTATTTTCTCTAAGTACCATAGACACACAACATTAGGAATTGTACATTGTCATTAAATGTTTGGAGATAACCAAGAGAAATCACAGTACAGGACAGGGGAAATAAACAGAGACAGTACTTACTTACTGAGTGTCTACTATTTTCCAGGCTCCTCCATTAGAACACTTTTCTCTTTTTGTCCTTCTCTGATCTCTGCAGCTAAGAGTCTGTTACCCCATGGACCTGACTTTCATAATGTGGGGCAATTCTGTTTGTCACTTCCTCGTACAAACCATATCTAAATATGCTTTTGTTAGCCAAAAGATATCTGAGGTGCTTATCAAATCAAGGGCTTTTTATTCATACACTATTATCAAACTTTTAAGTAAGGTTCCACCATACATACAGAGCATAGCAGTGTAATTAGGAGCTTGGGAAGACACTGCAATAGGAGGGTAAATTGGCAAAGGTTAGATAGCCAGGACTATAGAAGTTCATGATGCTAACTACCTGGCTGCTAAATATGTGTTTTATTAACAATCATTTTGTGAGCTGTAAGTGCTACAATTCCCTGTTTTATCTGCCTAATAGTAATGATGACAGCATTTGTACCAGTTAATAATTTTCTCGAAATTTCTAATATGATATCTCACTTAATCTCCCTGCTAATATTATGCTAATCCTAAGGAAATTCCACTTTAGACAATTAAGTAACTTATGATAAAGGTCAAAAAAATTTAGCTTATAAAATGTTAAACAGGGAATTATATACAAGCAACCCAACTGCAGTAGCTGCACTTATAACCCTTCTGCTGTATTTCACCACAGTCCCTATCTTTCCCAAAATAACTGGGCAATTCTAGTGACAATTTTTTTTTAATTTCTAAAAATACCTGTAAACCCCAAAGCTGTCAATATGGAGCAGCCCTGTTCTTCCTCAGGAGCATCCATTATTGAAATAGCTGAACTCAGTGTTCTGTAAGAAGAACAAAGAAGCATTCAGTCCCAAGTCTTCTGGGGCCATCTTGGAAGTGGGGGTGTGAGTAGGGTAATTGCATGTGCTTCCTTCTGTGAACCTATTACACAGAAAAGGAGGTCTCTTGGAACTTGTATATAAACAGTCTAATACTTTTGGCTTAGGAAAATCATTTTCTGAAAGAAAAATAATGCTATAAGAACCAAATGTGAAGTTTATATTTATGTGTTCTAAATATAAAATTCATGTCTTTGAATGTTATATTGTCTGTTTCTTTCTTAATGATGACATGTGAACTAATCTAGATTATTAGAGTTTTGATTTATTCTAAAAAAAAAAGCAAACATTTTACATAATGAATTTATTTCAATATCTACATTCAACGTTACTGAGTACTTAGTAAAATATCATTTTTAAATATATAAATGTTCTTTAATCTACTATTTAATGCTCATATTCTTTGGAAACTGTAAAATTAAAATGCGTGCTTTATTCAACCTATTCACAGTTCCTGATGATGTGTTTGCCCAAAATTATATATGGAAAGGTTCTTATAATTTTAAAGGAAGGAAACAACCCATGACCTTGACAGTTACTAGCTTCAATGCATCCACTGGGAGAGTTAATGCCACACTGAGCAATAGCAACATGGAACTGCTACTTTCAGGTATCACATTAAAAAAGAGCAACAAAAATAGTACTTTTAGATTTTTATTTTTATTATGATTCCATCATTTTTATATGTAAGATAGCTGTTATATCTGTTTTTTGTGACATTCATAACTCATTAAAAATGACTTTCTGGATATTGGATTGATGAATTAATGTTACCAAACAAGCATAAAATTCTGAAATATCTTGTTTGGTTTGTTTTCTTGAGGTGCTGGGGATCTAACCCAGAGCCTTGTGAGTGCTAGGTAAGTGGTGTGCCACTGAGCTACATCCCCAACCTGAAACTCTGAAGTTTTGAAGTTAAGTTCCTTCAAGAATATATTTACATGGCTGGTGGAGTGGCTCAAGTGGTAGACCACCTGCCTGGCAAGTATGAGGGCCTGAGTTCTAACCCTGGTATTTTCACCTCAATTATTTTTAACATAGATAGAATTAGATGTCATATGTTAGAATAGAACAATAATTTGTAAAGTTAAGACAATATGATAGTCAAATATATAAAATACTTTTGCAAGTTTTTTAGTATGTAGTTTTGTAAAAATGGAACTATGATATTTGATATAGAAAACATAAAATGTATATATTGAAATTTTCATGGTTAGCTTCTTTCATAATTATTAGTAATGAAATAATTTGTTGTATCAGTAAAATAAAAACAAAATTATGATAATTGATCTTGTAAATGTTAGAAGGAATATTGAGCATCACATTGCATTATTGAATGATCCTGCACAAAATTTACTAAAGTATTAGAATTATTAAATACTACTATGCTTAATATTAATCTAAAAATATGCACAATTGCATATCAATCTTAATAAGCTTCAATGAGAGAAATGCATTTAAATAGTGATTAATAATTTATTTAGCTTTGAAATGTAAATATTTTTTGTTTCCTCTAAACACTAACCAAAAATATTTTTATATTTATTATAATGTAGAAAACTTCAAAATATATCCCTACAAGTATAGAAAAATAGACATGAAATATGTTGACTTAATTACCTTTTACTCACTGTCTCCATATAAGAACAATTATAACCATTTCTCACCCGTATTATTTTTTAATACTTTTATGTCTTGTCCATATTGATTGGAATTTACTTCAGGTCAACACCTGTGTCTCATTATTTTTATTTACCCAGATATTCATATTGTGTCTTGTTAATTATACTCACTATGTAAAAAAATCATTGCATGTAGTTTTGTGCTTCTTTTGTTCATGCTATTTACCTTATTTACATTGTTAAAATAAAATTCCTTCTTAATTTCCAAGACATGATTGAAATATTCTTTTTCTTTATAAATACTTCCTGATCACTCCAGTGTTTAATGATCCCTCTCTCTTCTGGCCTTTTGCTTATCACATTCTCTGATGCATTTTACTTACTTGTGCACCTTATTGGCACTAAGTATTTTATTAAAAATCTTAAAAGTAAGAATGACATATGTTAATTTTGTGGCTCCTGCAGCACCTAGAATGCACACTCTGTCTCTCACATAGTGTTGGCACCTAATTCATTATTAAGCAAAAGATGAAATTTGAACTTTTAGTTTGTATCCCTACTTTTTATATTTGATTTTGTGGAAAGAAATCATTTGGGTTGCAATTTCATGAAATGATGTTATTACAAACAGTGGTACTTAATTTTAATAGTATAGGTAGTTTTAAGCCCCACAGATAAGATTTAAGTTGAAATTTCAGCTGAAAATGTGATCAATTAATATCTCAGGATTTAAGAACAGTATCATGTGTGAAGCCGGCTTGGCTCGGGTCTTGTCTTACATCTTTTTTCATCTCATATCTTGTGTAATATATTTAAGGATTTGTACATAATAAAATGAAACATAACTATTTACAAAATTAAGTAAACTACAATGTCCTTGCATTTTACAGGGATATATAAAAGCCAGGAAGCTCGCCTAATGTTACACATATATCTTATTAAGGCACCAGCTCATGCTTCTGTGAAGAAAATGAAGGAGGAAAATTGGGCCATGGATGGTTTTGTAAGTACAGCTCTCTAAGTGTGCTGTTGATTTCAATTACAAATTTGTTGTTTCTCCAGAAAAAGGCTTTTTTCCAAATTTAGCTAATTGTGAGTGCTCATGCACATGCATGCACACACACATATACACACAAAGTAGTGTACATATATATTTATTTCAATAGTCTATACTATGGACCCAGAATTATTGGACTCTGATGTAATTTTCTTATTTTTGTAATATGTTTATATATGTCTGTACAGTGTTATTCATTGATTTCACTAAATATATTCTATCCTCAACACCAATAGAAAAATTTGGAGAAAAAATGATTCAGAGATGGGCATGGTGGGTCAGGTCTGTAATCCCAAAACTCAAGAGGCTAAGATAAGAAAGTCATGAGTTTGAGGCATACTGAACTAAATAAGACTCTTTCTCTCTCAGATAGATTACAGATAGATAGATAGATAGATAGATAGATGATATATAGATAATAGATGATAGATGGATACATAGATACATAGATGATAGATGATTGATAGACAGATGATAGCTAGATAATAGATAGATAGGTAGATACATAGATAGAAAAAGATATAATTCAGCCTTTGTCTAGAACCAATCTGTAAGAAACATGTAATATATATGCATACATGTATGTATAGTTCTATATACATTTTGTATATATATACATTTATATTTATATATATACTAATGCATCAGAAAATTAAGTCTATTAACTTAATACTTCAGTCTTGAAGTATGAAATTAGAGTATTATGTAACGTTGTCTATGAGGAGGGACACATGTCCCTGCTGCTTCCTTTGGGGAGATAGTTATTCTATTGTCATCCTGGAGTCACTTTGTCCTTCCAGTCATTTATATGAATTAGAGATTCTAATGGAAGCAGAAAGTCATAGTAACATAGTGGACAGGATTCTTTACTAAAGAATAATCATTAGAATGCTAACCCTTCATTTTCAAGGAAGATGTGATGAGAATAATAGGCTTCAATCAGTTTGGTTCCTAAGGAAAAAAATTGTCTCTCCTGATTTGTATTCTTATCATTCTTTGTGAAACTTGGAAGTAACTGATGTCTTCAATGCACTCAGTTTGTTTAATGTACTATTTCATCTAGGAAACAAATAAATTCATTCATTTAAGTGTTATGATTTCAGCAGTTCTCTTTACAAATATTTTTTTTCGTTTTCTTCCTTCCTTCCTCCCTCACTCCCTCCCTCCCTTCCATTCCTTCCTTCCTTCTTTTTGTGGCACTGATGGGGGGCGTTTAACTAAGGGCCTCACACTTGCTAGGTAGGTGCTCTATCACTTGAGCTATGCCACCAGTCCCTCTATTGTTGGTTGTTTGTGTGAGAAGGTCTTGCTTTATGCCCAGGACTGCTGTACTGCAGTGTTCCTATTTGTGCTTCTTCCATTGATTGAGATGGGGGTCTCATCAACTTTTTGCCTGGGCTGTTCTGGAATCATGATCCTCCTGATGTCTGCCTCCCAGATAGAGAAAATTACAGGCTTGAACCACAAGCCCAGCAGATATTTCATTCTTTAAAAATGATCATGCCCAGAGTAAAATGTCTATTAATAAGAAATAAATCACTTGTGAAGTGTCAAACATGGTTTAGCATGCTTTGCCTTTAAGGATGAAGATTCAACATTTTTACAACTTTTATGGTAACATCCATGTCTTAGGTAATTAATTGTCACTAATTAGTGAATACTTCAGGATAACTTATTTATTAATCAGTTATTGAGATCCCTCTAGTGGATCAATTCTTGTTTTGCTTATGAGATCAAATGACATTATGCATGTGAATTTTTTTAAATATAGGATTTTATACCTGTGTAAGATAGTATAGTTGTCAGCATTTACAAAATTAGACACAGTAAAAAAAAGTCTCAGATTAAGTTAACAATAAGTATTTAATTCTTTCTTGTTGTCTGGGTTAGCTGTGGAAGCTTTTCTTGAGGCTGTTATGCAATTCACATCTGCTCCCTGCATCATTCTGGCACTGAGGTGGGAGTGGCAGCAGCTAGCTGGAGCATTTTCTTCTCTTAAAAGAAGTCAGAAGTAAACAGATGCCTGTAATCCTAGTTGCTTGGAAGGATGAGGTCGGGAGGAAAGTGGTTCTAGACCAGCGTAGGCAAAAAGTTCACAAGATCTCATCTCAATGGAAAAAAAGCTGGGCATGATGTCTGCAGCTGTCATCCCATAGCAGCAGGTAGTGGGAAAGAGTAGTATAACCATGCAGAGCAGCCTGGGCAAGAAGCAAGACCTCATCTCCAAAATAACCAGAATGAAAAGGGCTGGAAGTGTGGCTCAAGCAGCAGAGGGCCTGTCTCACAAACATGAAGTTCAAATCTTGGTACCACACTAATAATAATTAGGTCAGGAACTCTCAGTGGAACAAAAGTTGTTCTGAAATAAACTATAATAAGTTGACATACAACTTTTTTTTAAAGAAAGTGACTTGCTGTGTATCCTGCATTGTCCTTAATCTTACAATTCTTCTGCCTCAGCCTCCTGAGTGCTGGGATTCTAGGTGTGGGATTAGAGGTTGACATATGCCTTTTTTAATAGTTCAGTTTAGGTATAATTCATATATTCTATAATTCTTTCATTTAAAATACACAATTCAGTAATTTTAATTATGTGCACAGATATATATATGTATAACCATCAGCTGATTTGTGAATAATTTCATCACTTTGGAAAGAAATCCAACAGCCTTTAGTTGTCACTCCTACCCCCAACCCTTATCCTAGCCTTCATTCTAAACAATCACTAATCTATTTTCTACTTTTCTGGATTTCCATGTTCTAGCCTTTTATGTAAGTGAAGTTGTAAAATATATGGTCTTCTGTGAATGACTTCTTTCACTTAGAATAATGAGAAATATTTCTCTTAAGACCTGGGCTTACAACTGACCTTATTGCCAGTCCCACTCTTCTTCCATTGGCTAAAGCAATTTTCAGGACAAAGCCTGATTCAATGAAAACGGAAGTCCCCTCTTCCCATGAAGGTTGTGGGAGGGGCAGAAGCAATATGCACATGCAGAACAGCCATATAATCTACAAAGAACAGCATTGTTATATTTTATTTTTTTAATTTTCCAACAGAGTAAGGACTCTTTCATCATGTTATTGCCATTTTTGGAAACTGAGTTATTCACCTATAAGAGATCTATGTCCCCATGTCATTATATTAATAACCATCCCCCTTTGGCCAATGTCATAATTCTTTAAAATCATGACTTTTACTTTTCCTTTTATGATGGAAATTCTCACAATATTTTGTTTGCATAGGAGGAAGAGATAGAGGAAAACAACGCTGGCTAATATTCAATTCAGAAAAAAAATGGATTTTTATTCAAACTAGGACAATATACCTGTGGCTACTCTTCATATTTAATCAGACTTTTAAATATTTTAGGTTTCTGCTGAGCCTGATGGAGCGACTTATGTATTTCAAGGATTTATTCAAGGCAAAGATTATGGACAATTTGGACTCCAAAGACTGGGTATTTATACTTGATTTTCATGTAGTTCATTTATTACCACAGACATCATAAGAAAACACAGTGGATTCTGCATATAAAGCATACTTACTACACTTTGAATTGTGCATTTTGGGGGCTATGCATTGATACATTTGATGGCTTTTAAAAAATAATCACATTCTTTAGAACAGGTTGCCTACATAACAACTCTGTACAATGTTTAGGTTTTCATCATATTTCTAATAAATAGGACAAACTGTCTTGTCCTTAAGCAAATTAAAAAAGATGATATAGGTAAAGAAATATTAAACCATAAATTATTTTATCTTATGAGAACTTTAGTACTTCCTTTCAATTTGAATATTGTTGCGATTTTCTGACTCTTCTAAAAAAAGTAAGAAAATCTTACACTTTGAGAATCTTACAAAATCAGAAAGGAACAATCACTGAGTAATGGGCCCCTATTGGAATCTTGGTGCTCCTTGAACATGTAAATTTTCTGTGGTGGGACACAAAAGGTTTTGTCATTCTCATTTGTAAACATTCAATGGTTTTCCTAAAATATATCTATGAACATAGCTCTTTGTGTATTAGTTTTCTGAGGTATACTTTCTCTCATTTTTACACTGTGGTGTGAATATGTAAAGTATATATCCAATCCAGGCTCTAGAAGCTACTATTGGACATTTATATACATTTTTGATACTGAGACTTAAACCAGGTCCTACAGCTTGAGCCACTCCACCAGACTTTTTTGTATTAGGTATTTTCGTGATAGGGTCTTGTGAACTTACTTGCCTGGGGTTGGCTTCGAACTGTGAGCCTCTTGATCTCCGCCGTCTCAGTAACTAGGATTACAGGTGTGAGCCACCGGTGCCTGGCTGCACATTAGCTTAAGAAATCTTTACTTTGAACTTTTGTGTAAATATACTGTCACTGAAAAAAGGAGGCATAGGAAAATGCACTATTTTTTTTTAGTCCACACAAAAATTGTGACTTAGTTGAATATAATTGTTTATCAAAAAGGGAAATCATCCTTCTGTGAATGAATAATAATGGTATCATTTCACATAATGCCCTATTCAAAATTGGGTTCTATTTAATGACATAATAAACCATTTATTACTATGGTTCATTAATACAGCTATGTCATTGAATGTAGGACGTTTTCATACACTGTTCTTAACAGTTTCTCAAACACGTCATATCGAAAGTAGAATCTACAAAAATGTAGCTATTTCTTCCTGAAGAACTGTTAGCTATTCCTTTTCCCCATCCTTGTGCCAAAATGTTGACAAACATACTTTTTTTCACTTTCTAACTCAACTCATGTCATAGCCATTTTCTCAGCTTTGAGTAGAATACTTCTTATGCTGCCCCTCCATCCCGCTGTCATTCACACAAACAAGTTATCTCTCTTTGTATGCTGTTCCTACTGCTCTAGTTCAAAACTTAATATCCACTTTTAAAATCTGTAACAACCTTCTAACTGCACTTGCTTCCAGCATGTGCTCCTCAAGTCCTCCTACCACAGTTTCTCCTGGAAGTTTCATGTCTTGGTCACTGGGTCTTTTATTTCTGTGTACCTTCATTTGCTCTTTACTGAGGTGGGTAGTAAGTTTGAACACCTTAGGATGTTTCTTCCTTTCCAAAGTGCCCCGTGGTATATTATTTTAGCCACCTATTCCTACTACAAGTCAATATTTGTCGCATTTACTAAGTATGTCACTTACCTGCCTGTTTCTAGGCTCGTGATATTACTATTTCCTTCTCTATTTGTTGTTCTACTGACTCTTCAAGGCCAAACCTATTTTACATACACTTCAGAAAAATTTTTTAGATATGCCAGAAAAATTACTCCTTCCTTTTCTAAAATACATTGGCCATTAATTCATGCTTGATACGTACATTTGGCATTTCTGTAAGTCTTCTCACTATTGTATGAATTTCTCGACTCAAGACTATATACATATTGTTTAGCTGCATTCTTTCTGGAAAAATGTCTTATACATTACAAAATTGTGCAAAAAAAGTGTGACAATGAGGTGAAGGTGTTTCACAAATTACCTTGTTTACTATGTATATTTCTAAATAGATATCTTGAAAAAGAAAAATTTGTCTTGATAAGGTAGAAATCAATGATGATAAAGTAGAGTTGATTTTGTATTTATAATTCACTTTTTATTTTCTAGGACTCAATATGTCAGAAGGTTCAAATTCTTCCAATCATCCTCATGGTACAAATAGTAGTTCTGTGGCCATTGCTATTCTTGTGCCTTTTTTTGCACTTATATTTGCAGGATTTGGATTTTATCTTTATAAACAAAGGTAGGTAAATTGAATTTTAACTATAAAATGTTCCACATATCTATCTTGCATGGCATTTCTACTGTTTTAGTTCAAATCCTCATTTCTATTTTTTCTGTTATTGAAATCTGAGTAACACAGTTATTGAAAACTTTATTTTCACTGCTCACTCCTATATTACCTCATACACATTACAGAAAATGACTCTGCTAAATTGCATAAGAATTCAGTCTAACCCTTTTTCACTTGCCTGTCAATTTCCTGGTCCAGAAATAGTTGTACAAGTTATTTTTACATTATCTATAAGAGGATTTAGACATACAAAAATATAGGTTAAGGTTCACATTAAAGAGGTGATATCTATTTCTAGAATTATTTAGAGAACTAGGAAGAAGTATGTGTCCTGATCTCTTAGTTCACATGTAGTCCTGACTGATGTTACCCTCTCACTCATCTTCTGCTACCTTTGACGATTATACAATCAATATATTTATGATAAATCAAGTATATATTATTATTAAACAACCCTGTTTAATCTATCCAGTGAAACATACTGGTAAGGGCATTAGTATTGGGAAAATCCTTTATCAAGAGAAATATGTAGGTAACCAGATAATTTAACTAATATTACTTAAGTTCATTTTCTTCCACACGATGTTTTAATATGTGAGAATGATTTATTTAATATTATACAATTTTTAAGATCTATAAGTTACCAGCTATCTTAGTCTGGTCAATATCAGACATTACTTGAAGATAAAGAATAACTACCACTAAATTATTTGTAAAAAGCAACCGTGCCAACCCTTTTTTATTGTGGTAAAATATATGTAACATAAACCTACAATTTAATACATTTTAAAGTGTGCAGTTCAGTGACATTGAATACATTTAGTCTTATGCAACATTATATAACTCCAGAATATATTTATAAATCAAAAAGGAAACTATAGTCATTAAGCAATCACTCCCCATAGCCTTTACCTCCAACTTCAGCCCACCAAAATTCTATCTTTATGAATTTGCTTATTCTGGATTTTTCATATTATGGAAACATACGATGTATGACATTTTGTGTCTGGTTTCATAAACAGCAGGATGTTTTCACATTTCATCCATGTTATAGTATCAAAACTTCATTCCTTTATATGAATCAATAACTTCCCATCTTATGTATATGATATGTTTTGTTTGAGGTTGTCAATCAATTGATAAACATTTGGGTTGTTTCTTTTGCTTTGTGTAATTCGTTATGCTATACACATTTATACATTACTTTTTCCTTGAATTTTTTCAGTTCTTTTGGGTATATAGTCAAGAATGAAATTTCTGAGTCATGTGTAATTCTCTTTTTAACTTAATAAGGAAAAAACAAGTGGTTTTGCACAGCAATTGCACCATTTCACATTTCTACCTGCAATGCATGTGGGTTCCACTTTCTCCACATCCTCATCAGCACTTGTTTTTGTTGTTCTTTTTTATTGCAAGTGTACTAGTGTATTTGAAATAGCATCACATTATAGTCATGACTTTTATTTCATAATTGTGACAGTGTTGAGCATCTATTTACATGTTTCTTGGTCTTTTGTATCTTGTATCTGTGTATTCTTGGTCCTTTATCTATCTTCTCTGTAGAAATGCCTGCTTAAGAATTTTGCCTAGACTTAGTTGAGTAATTTGTCTTATTGAGTTGAAAGAGGTCTTTCTATATTCTGGACACTAGGCACTTGCAGGTATTTTATTCCTTTCTATGTCTTGTATTTTCATTTTCTTGATTCACTGTCTTTTACTATACAAAAGCATTTTGGGGTTTTTTGATCAAGTTCAATTTATATATTATTTCTCACTTGGGTTCTTCATATCGTATTTGAGAAACTAAGGCCAGATTCAGGGTCATGAGTATGTACTCATTTGGCTTTTCCTCAGAGTTTTATGGATTTAGCACTTACATTTAAGACTTTGATTCATTTTGAGTTAATATTTGTTCATGGTGTGAATTTTCCTTTTTAAAAACAGTGATAGTTTACTTAAAATTAAGTATTAAGAGAAGGCAATTCTTTTACATCTTTACCATTTTAATCTAATTAAAGAGAAATCACAATAAATGTAGTTTTATTATTAATTTTGTTTGGAAAAAAAGAAATGGATATGATCCAATACTTATGATAAAAGGTATACTTGGTGAGAGAACAGCTTCTCAGGTTACTACAAATAAAACCTTCAAATAATTTTAGAATATTGTTACAGAAATTAACTAAAATATTTGAAATATAGGAAAAGCATTTGTGACACTAAAATAGCATAAAATAATGCAAATAAGATTCAATTAGTAGTTGAAATTTATGGGTGTTAGGCATAAACAAAGGAGTTGAGAAACAAACTTACTAAAAGCTATATCCTTTTTAAACAAAGGCAATACTGCCTTTGTTTTATGACATATTTCATGAAATGTGGGAAAGAGAAAAAAATAAATAACCATTTGACAAAGATGGGAGAAATAATGAAATGAAGAAGGAAGTTCAGACAACCTACACCATCCATCCTAGACTCCATGTATTTTGTTAATTAAAGGCAGATGTTTAATTACCAATAACTTTTTGGAAACTATTTTCATGATATGTATATCACTATAGTCATTTTATTTTTGAGATTTTTAATTTGTGCCAATGTATACACTTTTAAGAATTAAATTGTGTATTTGAAGTTTTGGAATATTTTAAGTACCTTCACATTAGATGTCAGTACTGTCTACTCTTCATGAAATTCTCTTTTTCTTATTAGTGAAGGGCTGTCTCCTTCTTGTCCTTTAAGCCTCAGTCTAAATTCTATGAGATGCCTTTCCTAAAGTGACCCCCAAACATTTCTTATCATACCAACCATTTTCAATAGCATCATAACAACTCTCACTATCTATTTTTCTCATTTCATTTCTTTTTATTCGTTTTGTCCTGTCAGTCCAATTTGAAATCCACCAGAATAATAACTTTATATTTTTTTAAACATTATACACACATTGTCTAAAATGATGCCTGACACATAACAGATGTTTGGGAAATACTCAATGAGTAAATGAATAATAATGAGTAAATGCAAATAAAATTCATCATCATCATCATTGTATTATACATAAGTGATAGAAATAAATATTTCATAAGATAATTTTTAATAGTTAATTTCATTTACTTACATTTATAATTCTTATTGGTACTGTATATAAATATGTATTATATGTAAATAATAAAAGTCATTCAGGCTTTAAATGACAAGTAAGTAGCTCAAGTTTGATTTATTGTGTTTAGTTTATGTGACATTATCCACTAAGAGTGATAAATATTTTATGTTTGAACCCTACTTGCTCCTTCTTGAAGTAAATTAACACAAAGCTAATCACTGTTCTCTCCAACAGGACTGCACCCAAAACACAGTATACCGGATGTTCAGTACATGAAAATAACAATGGCCAAGCAGCTTTTGAAAACCCCATGTATGACACTAATGCCAAGTCAGTGGAAGGGAAGGCTGTACGATTTGATCCCAACTTGAACACAGTTTGCACAATGGTATAATGCGGCAACACTTTGCCTTCTTCAAAATCTTGGAAATTGACACACAATCAGTGCACATTTAGTTCACTGCTAAACAAAGCACACTTTTCAGGACTTGCTGGGTCACCTTTTCCTGAGGAATGAGAGAGAAGAGTGTTTTTTCATAAACTGGATCAAAAGTCTTCTTCATGTTTACCATGGAGAGTTTTACAGAAATTTGGCTGCACTCTGAGAGTGCTTACTCACAGTTTTATTTGCTTTTTTAAAAAAGGAGATTATTCTAAAACATAAACTTATTTGCATATATTGGAGGAGCATCCACTATCAGTATTTCTGTGCTTTATAAACTATATTAGAGGGACTGGGTTAAACAAAAAGATATAGGGTAGAAAATAAGAGATGTACTTACAAAAGTCAATAGATCATTGACTTCTCTTTAACTTTCCTGAGCAACATTGCACCCATCAGTCTGTATTTCATACCACACCATCTGCTATTCATTCTTGTTAGTCTATGTCTTATTATCCTTATTTTCATGATATTTAAGATTGGGACATGCCTTTAACTGTTTATGATATAATTTATGCCACAGAAGAAATAAGGCTGCCCACCCCAATTTAACTTTCTGGGTTTTTTGTTCTTCATGCTGTTTTTCTTTTAACTGATTGTCATAGTTTATTCAAATGGCAAGGTCATTGTGTCATTGTCCCCTCCTGATTTCCAACTACAGACTAACCATTTTTATTCTGTGAGTCCTAGGGTAGAGTTTAAGTTTTTGCTTCACTACATTTTGTCAGCCTGAAACCATTTTGACTGGCAAAAATTATCTATAAAGATGATTATTTTGCAGCATTCTGAGGCAACAAACTTTTTACCATTCTTTAGCAAACTTTCCAATGTTTATTAAAGACCAAATAGACTCTATGAACAATATATGGTTTTTAATTTATGCCTAACTATCCTTCCAGTTAAACCTTCAAATTTAACAGTGTTGACACTTCAAAAATGCTTCTAGCAATGAGAAGCATACTCTGGTCTAGCCCCTTAACAAAATGAGTAAGAAAATAAAAAAAAAAAAAACACATTCATTCAGTTGTTTCCTAAAGATACGAGTTTATTAAATTTTCATTTATTTAAAAATTTCTATACTGTTATTCTTGAAAAGCAGGTTTCAGATACAGCAGGTTTCTTTCATAGTCAGATTCCAATGTGTGATTGTATGTTATTGGTTGTTCATTTACAACTACATCATTCAGTGATGCCAGCATTTTTATTCAATAGGCCATTGTCTTCCTTTTTTAAAGCATGTTTCACTCCATTGAAAAAAATTATGTACCTAGTGTAAACTCGTTGTTGTCCCTTTCAAATATGGATTACTCTGTGAATGGTCTCCACTCTTTGTGTCATGAGACAGAGTGCCTAAGAGAAACCATTGCACCTGGAAGCACTGCTTGGATCTAGCTCTACATTTAGAATTTCTTGTAAACCACTTTGAGATACATTGTTTTGGAAATTCATATAATTTTCTCAACATTGTATTCTACTGACAGGATGCGGTTTTAAATTTTATGGCATCAGTTATTTATTCTTGTTTATTCAAATGACTGCAATAACAATGATTCACTCACTAATGTTAAGGTTAATACATTTAAGATCTTGTTTAAACAATGTTTCTTCTGCAACTGGCTACTCCTCTTATATTAATGCATACACTTTTGTAAAGAAGTATATTTTTATGAGAAAAACTTTGTAAAAGTATGATGTAAATTTTCAGTGCAATGTAAACAAATAAAAATGGATAATTGCTTTTGTAAAAAGTGTATTCTTTTCAAAATTACCTGCAACCATTCTGGTTAGTAAAAGGAATCAACAACCAACTTTTATTTGGTGTTTTTGCAAGTTTCCAAACAGCACATTATATCTACTTAGTAACATAGTAATAAAACATAGGTGTTTTTCTTCTTTATAGTCTATACTTCTTCAAATGTAACAATCTTTGAGAAGTAAATAGATTCCCAGTAAATATATTATTAGTACTGCTACCAAGCAAGGGCTCACTGTTGATGGTGCATGAAAGACAAACTGACATGGAATTTTTGTAAAAGGAAGGAGCTTTATTGAATTTAACCAAGAAGAAAACTGGAGGCATGTTTAAGTCTGTCTCCCCAGCAGTAGTCAGGGAATTTATGAGTACAGAGCCGGAGACACTGCTTAATGATTGGATAGCAAGAGGCATATTTTTTTAGGGTTCTTTTGTACAGTTGTAGACATTCATCACACCACTTCTCAAGTCACCTTTTTTTTTAACTTCAGGGCATTTTGAACTTAAAGTCAAAATGTGCTCCCTCATGGACGACTTCTGCGCATGCTCAACTAGGGATAACCAGGTTTAGCTGGTCCCTGCTGGATTTTTGAACATGTTTTTGTCAAAACAACCTGAAAGAAAATTTGTTAGTTGGTTAATTTATACATTGTTTCTCGTTGTTTTCAATTCCAAAGAGCCTCAGAATGTTTGTTAAATATGACTATTTAAAAAAATACTATCCAAATTTAGGCACACTTTATAATTTCTATTTCTGCACTATATTTTCATAAGTATACTATGAATACAGTAATAGTTACATTAAACACATACTTGAAAAACAAATCTACTCTTACAAAGATGTAGGCTTTCCACAAATAAATGGAACAAGTAAGCATTATGTACTTCAGAGAGTTATTGTTTGTGTAAACTTCTAGCCACAAGTTACTTTCAATTTTATTACAGAACTTTTTCCACAAAAGACAAATATAAAGAAAAGTGTCTTTATATTTGAGCACTTCAAATTCCAGCCTTTTTAGTCTAGCTCTGTTTATTACATTTTTGTTTTAGATCCAAATGCCTCTTGAAGCAATTCCAGGAACTTTGCTGTCACCCCACCTTTCCCTAAAGTCATGTTTTCTGTATTGTCACTGGTTCTTTGTGTTTATTTTTATTCTTCTCTATATATTCCCCTTTTCTCTAATTGGATATTTTTCTTAATGATCCTTCTTTCTTTTGCATATCCTCTGCTTTTTTAGTTTTTATTATCTTTAATTTTTTTCTTCACTTTTTACCCTTAACCTTCTCAAAAGTGACCAGCAATTTTCCTGTAAATGTTGTTAAAGAGCATTAATTTTATATACTTACAGACATTAAAGATAAGCCTCACTCAGAGTTTCTGGAACCTAATGAGCTACTGTAGAAAACAGTAGGCTGAAAGCAAGGTTTATTTTGCTGTCTTCTTCACTAACTAGTAAAAGGAAAATAAGTGTATAACATATTTTAAGAATCAATAAAAAAGGTGGATATTACTCCCTTTAAAATGAGAATTTCTTGTTTTTCAAAGTACTACTCTCTGAAACATATATATATGTATATATTTAAAGTAGTTGAAATAAAGCAAAAAATTGGTTCTAGAAAATTATAAAATCACATGAAGCTAAAAAATAATTTAGGATGGGTAGTTTGAATTTTGGCTACAGGCGCTATTGATTTTTCTTTTTAGAATGACTGGAGGTAAGGGAATATTGATCTAAGAAGATATGTGTTTTGTAAAATTTGAGAAATATCTTTGTCATCATTTATATGAGTTTGGTGTTCTAACGTAATTTGAGCACTGGGGAACAGAAGAAACCACTGGACATTAAGTTTCATTCTCACAAAGCAGTGGAACTGGTGAACATCTGCCAAATACTTTCCCAACTTTAATAAGTCCCTTTGTGTAATAATTTTATTACTCTTTGAAAAAGATATATGTCCCATACATTCAAATTCATAGCTTTAAGTTGTATTTCAAAATATAAAACAAAAATCCGTGTTTAAACTTTCATAAGATGCAAACTATGTGTAAGTCTTACCATACCCATGAAAATAGGGATGAACTTGAGTGCTTTGACAGAAACATAAAGATGTAGACAAAAATATAAAACCATCTGTAATATATGAATTAAAAGTAACCCCGGTGTCATCCTTCTCAGCAACTGTTTTTCTCACACCTTTGAATTCAGATTTTCTGTGTCTAGAAAGACCTAACTAGAATACGATATGCTGTTCTGAGAATAGCAGTTGTTATCCTTGCACTCCCAATAACCCAATACTTGGCTATTAAAAAGAAAGAAGAGCAAGCCAGGATTTCTTTAAAGTCTATGTTTTAAAATGTATAAAATGAAATGATGTAAATTGATCATAATAAAATAGTTATAAAATATTGTAAATACTGTAGTATGTGTACTAATATACATGTATACATTAATGGATATATATAGGTATATATATATATATATATTTAGTGAAAGATTAAAGAAGCATTAGGAGTAATCATTTCCATAGTTTTGTCTATTGGGATCATAAGTAATATTTTGAGAAATTCATAAGATTTTACATGACCTGAGAGTATGATTGATTTTTGTTGGTAACAAAATCATACATTGTTTTTACCTGACCTTATGATTGAATGGAATACTGCATTTTCATTGGAAGATAATTGAAGATAACAATGTAAACTTTTTTTTCTATCTGAGGTTGCAAACTCTTGGAGTTTTATCTTCATAACAGGTTAAGAAAACTGCTTTATAGATTGAAATTTTAGCAACTACATTGTGGCGAGTGAAGGAAGGAGATATAGTGTATGCTTTCTTGTGCTACTGGGAATCAAAATGGAGTGTGTGGTTTGTGCCTTGGTAATAAAATACCAATATGAAGTAAATGAAGTCAAAGAATAAAAAATGGGTATAAAATTTTAGTGGAATATTCAGATTTTAATGCAAAATAGATGTGCACAATTCTATTATGAGCTATAATGTATATTGGGAGAATAAAAATATAGTAATCACATCTATCTCATCCTGAAACAACTTAATTTCTTGCTGAACTGTAAAAAAAAAATTGTTTTAAGTAATGATATTGGAACTCAAGGCCTCATGCTTGCTGGCAAGTTCTGTACCACTTGATCTGTACCTCCAACCCTTTTTGCTTTTAGTTATTTTTTGATAGGGTCTTGTGTTTTTCCCTGGGTGGCCTTGGATCTTGATCCTCCTACATTTGCCTCCTGAGTAACTGGAATTATAGTCATGTGCCAGCATGCCTGGGACCTATAAAGCAAATTCTTGAATCATTGCTAGAAAAAAAATCACAAAATAAATCTAAGTATGTTTTCATTTTGTCACTACTTTGTACTGATTGAAATTGAGTTCTATGAACTATGAGAGAAATATGGCAAATTTCAGTCCATTGAATGAGATCCTACTTTGTTTCTGGTTTAATGATTAACATGATTAAAAATGATTTGAGCTGTGTGGCATTGATACATGTTTTGAGAATATTCAGAATTTAATAGAACTAAATACTATAAAAAGTGCACATTAGGTCATTAATATCATAGAAAACTTGGACATTTCTAGACAAAATCATGGTTTGTTCACAATTTCAGTGGGGAATGTATTGTTAACTTTTCATTTGTCCTGTGTCTGTTTCCTTAGGAATCGGTATTAGCTGATGCTTTATATATTAATGACAGTTTGAATGAAGAAATAAAAAGCTCCCATAATTTCAATGGAAATCAGCTACACAAGATAATAAGACAAAGATACATTTATATTTAATAATATGCAGTCATAGAAAAGGAAGAATCAATATTCCTTTTGGCCTAATAATTTTATTCTTCATATATTATCCAAAAGAAATAATCAGTGAAATGTATTA